TAACGGAAAATTAACTGAAAAAACTTGATATTTACCATCAAAATTTGGGACTTTCCGGTACTCCCATTTTGGTAAACTTTTGTCATGTTATTCAGTACACCCAACGCTACCTGTAACCATCCAAAACCCCTTTCTTGTCGTTTTGTAGGGATTGACCCCTTCCACAAATTGACTGGTTTAGTGTGTTACTGATATGCCGTGTTTTAAGTACTGAGTGTGTGCAATTACTACCGAATATGCCCCGTTTTACATACTACACAACAGACTTTCTACTTGTAATTAGTTTTTCATTGTATTTGTCTTTTCTTACTGTTATCTGCTTTTTGACGAATGCATATTTATTTTGTGGTTTATAATGGTTTATATAAAAATATATAGGGTTATCAATTTCTTTAAAGTACCAATGGCCTCTAATAATGATAATAATAACAATGATAATAATATTAATATAATAATAATGACTTTATTTAAAAAGGGTTGAAGATTGGGCTATATAGCCTTTCCAACATCCTGCCCTTAATCCGGCCCTGCCTGTTTTACGATCAGTAACAGACACCTTCTGCGTTTTACATTCAGTACATTCAGTGAAAAGTAATGTAAAATTGAATTAGTTGATCATATTTAATCGATTTTAATAATTGACTAGTATGCCTTTTGGTAAAACTAATTGTAATAGTATATGTTCTGAAAGTCAATAAATACCTTTCCATCAGAATTATTGTGCCGTACAGTATTCATTGTTCTGTTTCTCAGTAAGTTACAAAAAGTAAATATTTAGACGTTTGTGAATTGGCTCCACTGCACTGTGCACGTTGTCATTTTTTATTATTCTGAGCATCGACGTCTTTGAACTTAGATTTCTGTATAACAAATAAGGGCTAATTGGTTAAGATTAAAAACTACATCGATTTTGCTTCTGTGTCCAGAAAAGTAATGAAACAATTAATTATATTTTTAAGTGCAATTCGCCGAGAATCGATTAGTTTAAATAACATTGAATGCCCATGGCTTTATATAGATAAAGTTTTGTTCTAAGTACGACACATTAACAACATCAACAGTCTCCATCAACAAGCAGCAGCATTTAGTAAAATAAAAAACATACAATATCGAAACATACAATATTATTTTTAATAAATTCCTTCAATTTCTCCAAAATGTCAATGTTTACGTGTCTACTTGCAAAACACTGCGTTTTCTTTTCATTGTGATACATACCAAGAAAGGTTAGACTCTGTACAGGATCATAGCATGATTTACCGACTTTTTGGACAAATCATGAAGAACATATCTGATCATTCGTTTACATCTGTAGCTTGAGCAATCAAGTATGATCTCCTAAAGTATATTAAAATTTGCTTTCCCTCGAATTATTTAAGTAAATAAATCAAAGTGTCGCTGCTGAGGCCAAATGGTAACACTGTAAATTGAAAATATCTCATTTTATTATCCAAATAGCATGTAAACCCTAAATATTTTGCATAATGATATTTAAGATCAATTTTACACCCAGTTCCAACGAAAACATCTATTTGATACATTCATCAAACTAAAATTTTAAAACAATTTCAAGGTTATATAATTCATTTTGACTTTAATGGAGTCACCACGTTCAATCACGGTGCTAAAATTCCTGGTCAAAATGAAGGGGGCGCAATGACACGCTTTGCGTCATCGGGGGGGGGGGGGGGGGGTGTCTGACCAGGAATCAGACAACTGCGCATGTCAAACGGAAGTGACGGCTAAATAGTAAATAAAGTAAAGAACCGTCGGACGGCTTAATATCCACTGCGTTTAGTTTAACCCCGTAAAATATGCCAAAACAGTGTTTACAGAAGACTGAAACTTTAAAAAACATTTAGGGGGGTGGCACGCCTCTGAATATCAAAATGGAATATTTCGGCTTTCATCACTACAATTATAGACATAAACACTTAAAACAGTGGACACGCCAGACGAATCATTCGGCCGAATAAATTTTATTCGACTGAATGAGTGGATACACTAGGCGAATTCTCCGCCCAATTCACCAGCCGATTGCATCACCTGTCACGTCACATGATTAAACATGGCAGTGACCATGTCTTCGAACAGCATGTGACTTCTCGACATCAGTGGAAATTCGGCTAGTGTGTCCACCGCTGAACCGATGTCAAAAATATGCCATGGCTCAGATATGCTACAACTCAACCCTCGCATGTTCCGCACAGCGTAATAGTTCTCTCGCATGCTCTTATCGGGGCAGTCAATTGTTTTATGAATAGTTCGTTTCGAACAGATATCCGTTCACGGTCTGATATTACAAATTCTCAACTCCAACGGAATAATCAGTAAGCTGAAAATCGACTGTTATGTGTTATTGCTCTCTTCAATAGTAAAGATAACTCGTTTTTTCCTTTTCTTGCGCCACTTCCTGAGTCTTCCAATGTCTGTGACGAATCAATCGTAGCAAAGATCTCTGTATTAGAATTAGATTTATTCAAATGCGTTTTACCAGTTCTATCACATACGTAATTTTGGCTCACATCAACATTATCAATTAAGATGTAAACAATAAATTGTGAGGTTACTACGTACTTAACCTATTCTACTGTATAATTGAATGTGATCGATAAACAAGCTTCTGAGAGTATATTATTAAAACAATATATGACCCCACCGACCCAACAATCTTTGAAATGTTTGCATTTATAAGAGGTAGATACTGCAAATACATGAACGACAAAATTTATTGTTTTCGTAAAGATTTGGACGAAAAAAGCCATTAGAGAAATGGTATATATAGATATATGAAATGGGGTTTAATTTAAGAGACAAAAACATTGCCGCAATAATAAAAACAGAAAAGTAGTGTCAGGGGAGGGAATGAGAGAATTCAACGATTGTACCAGGCGCATTATCTACGTCATGGATATAAATCTTTTCTTTTTTTTTATCTAAATTCCAGCTTGTCACAATAAAGCTACTTAAGACCATACAAAATGGAACAGTTTGATCCCAAATCTATTCTCATCATCAATTAAATGACCATTGAAAGTTGGCGTTGGTTATCTATGTGTCTTACGATAAATAAAGTACTAATAATTATGTTGCCTTTTTCGTACACGCCAGTCCTGCTTTCTCTTCAAGTTTTTTTTTACACTCAATTGCGCCTAATTGCAAAATAATGGCAGCTGGAGGAAAAAAATGAAATGGGGTTTAACGTCCAACGTTTCTGCGCTGACTGGACCAATGAAGACGGGCTCACGCCATACAGTGTGCTATGGGGGAAATTTACAAGGACAACGGTGCTACTGTCTACTCTAATTCTAATTCTTGTCAAGGGTTTCTTTACACGTACGCATACACCAATGTGTACGTGTGACCCGGGTTTCGTTCCACCCGAACGACTAGACACTGCCCTTGTAAAGCACTCCGCCCTAAACTATCTTGCTGTTTTTGTCTTTAAGATAAAAAAACCCACAATGTACTATTTTAGAGTAATGGATATTATTTTAATCGAATTTGGCTTTGTTAGAAAGTTCTGGTTTCGATTTTCCGATTGGCTAATTATAGTTAATGTTATCGAGTGTTAATATGCTGGGCTGTAAAGATAAAAGTAATAATATGTTTGTAGAGCTCCAGAATCAAACACGATATCGACGCTGATACATTTAGAATTTTGTATATAACACTAATGTCCGGCTTTCACGTGGGCTACGAATGCTACGAATCGCCCCGAATAGTAGCAAATCGAAATTAATTGCAATTCGTAGAGATTCGGCAAGAAAATAAAAAAAATGTGGAGAATCTGGAGGTGCTACGAAGCAGTTATAGGGATAGTTTACGAAAGAGCTACGGTAATTCGTAGGTCATCGGGTGAAAAATATGCCAGATTTCAAGGTAGGGTTACGATAAATGTACGAATGAAAGAACAGTCTATACAAATTGAAGCGATTCGAATACGAATGAGTAACGGATATGCCAAATTTCTTACGAATATGCCGAATTGAGATACGAATACACCACGCTCTCCACGAATGTCGATAAGGCGACGGAAAGTTTGCGACATTTGGCACTATTCGTCAAAGAATCGAATAGGAAGCTGTTACGGATAGAACTATGAACTATACGAATGTGTCAGAACCAAATATGATTCACCCGCGAACTTCAAAAACCGTCTATGATTTATCTACGAATTGGAAAAAAGTTTTGATTCGAAACGATTCGTGGCAATCGTAGCCCACGTGAAAACCGGACATAAGATTTGAGAAAACAATCACGTCACTACACGGAGTGTCAGTCAAATACAAATATCTTATATAGCCTTAAGGAAGTTATGTTAGTATAAGATTAATTTTGACAGCATACTGTCTTAAACTCTATGTTGTCCCTTTGATACACTTATGATTACAAGTCGAAATTCAATTTGTACTCCTGGTTTACGTGACAAGGAGTAGGGTCGCCTGTCCAACCTCGTGGGTTTTCTCTGGATCCTCCAGTTTCCTCCCACTGCTAAAGACCTTTTCCTCCCACTGCTAAAGACCTCTACGCGCAAGCGAATTATTGAAAAATAAAAAAAAAATAAACCATATGTTAGTCCGAAATGACCTACTTTGTGTCGAGTGGACGTTAAAAGCCCCATCGCTCTGTCTGTAGTGAAAAGCATTCAGCCCAACGAAAATTTTGGGAGAAGTTGGAGGTGGGCAAAGAGGCCAGAATTAACATTGAAGTCAATGGGGAAATTGATGGTGGTCTGCCTCCCTTTCACAAATCCTGTTTACCTCCCCTGTTACTTCTTTTGTGAAGAAGATAATCGTCGTCCCTAAGTCATGTAAATAATGGAAAACCAACCGATAAATACAAATGTAAAAATAGATCTAAGGTAGGAAAACTAAAGTAATATTTTTTCTTTCATTTGTATACAATGTAATACTTATACATAGTGGAGCATACGATGGAATAAACTTTGTTATAAAGAATGGTATTTGCTTTAGACATTTATTGTGTATCGGTTAGTGCCCACTATTTACAACACGTGGGGATAAACATGGCTGCTGTGACTACAAAACGGAAAATTTCTCCTGTTGAAGACATTGATATAAATGTATGTTATGTTAAGATTATATTATAAAAATTTAACAGATGAGCCCAATCTTTATAGTGACCATCTCTGTCTAGCACAATACTTACTGTTCCTCTGTCATCCAGTCTATAGTTGCAAAAAAGTTTTCCTGAAGTTTTGAAAAAGTAAAAAAAAGAGAGCCTTCCCGGACTGCTCTGCTCTGGTCTTGACTTTTGTATGATGATATAAGAATGGATTGGGGATTAATGTTTCCTCCACTGTCAACATGATACGTCGGTGGTTTGAGACAAACATCTGATAAATCGTATTTTTGCGGCTACGTGTGTAACACGAAGAAGTAAAATTTGATCTGGACAGCGGCACCCGCTGACCCTTTGGGCCTTTGCCTTAGCCATATTATTAGACATTACTTAACTTGTTAGACATTACTAAAATCTTCGTCTTCCATTTCTTTGATTTCTGAATGTTCCATCAGAATGACTGGTTATATTTTCCCTTTTCGCCCTTGTCAAACATGACCTGAAAGTGTGTCTACCTACTTGGGCACTATTTCAGTAACGTACCTCTACCAGTTTCCATGATCGTAGCGACTTGAAATTTTCAGGGGGTATTCATGGGGTTAGCCATGACCTCACACCAAATTTCAGCTGAATCCGTCAATAACTTTTTATTTTACCGTAGTTTAGCTTATAACGAGAAAGTTTATCCGATTTTGACGCCATTTTGTTTGTTGGCTATTTAGACTCGAATAACAAGACAGGGTTGGGGTTAGGGCTAGCCTCGTCTACATCTTGAGACTATGACGAAATCTACAGGTCCTAGCCCTTACCCTAACCCTTATCCTAACCCACAATCCACGTATGACGTCATTCGAGCCTTAATAGTCAACAAACAAAATGGCGTCAAACTCCGATAAATTTATCTCTTATAGAAGCTAAACTACGGTAAAATAAAAAGTTATTGACCGATTCGGCTGAAATTTCATGTGAGGTCATGGCTAGTCCCCGTGAACACCCCCTGAAAATTTCAAGTCTCTGCGATCACAGGAACTGGTAGAGGTACGTTACTGAAATACATGTACATGTAGTACCCCAACTTGTTGGTGGTGCTGGACGGGAGGACTTGACAAGGACAGCTGTCTAGTCTTTCAGATGGAAAAAAAACCCCACTGAGGTCCTGTGTAAACAAAGATCCCTTGGTAGTTGGAATTTGATATAAATGTAGGTCGTGGCACCGCACATAGCCCAATGTATGGTGTATGCCAGTCATCATTTGCCCAGTAGGAGCAGAACAGTTGGACATTAAATATAAACCCAATTTCATTTCAAATGCAATATTGAACTTTATAATTTAAATATTTCTGGTTATTTTTCGACAGAATGGAGTGAATCTATTTGTGGATGAACCTCCAGATTCTGAAGATGATGATGACACAACTGACTCAGACTCTAGTGAATATTCTGGTTTAGAAGATGAACCAGACACTGAGGATGAAGGAGATGATGAAGAAGAGGATGATGAAGATGATGAAGATGAGGTACATGTTTTATGGATACACAAGTTGTTTGCACATGGTTTGAGCTTAAGTTACATGTACATATATGTAGCTCAATCTTAGTTACTTGCCTAGAATTTGCATGCCCATGCGTACTACATGTACAGTACTGTAGTTGGGTGGTGTGTCATCAATTAAGGTTATCATGGTTGTGCCCCTCCAACTCCAGTTTCCTCCCACTGCTGCAGACTACATTGCATAAGTGAATACCTGAAAAAAAGACATTAAACCCCATTTTCTCTCTATGATAAACAATTTTCACTAATTTTGACTTATTTAATTTAGGAGGAAGATGAAGAAGATGATGATGCAGAGAATGATGAAGATGGAGAGGATGAGGATGAATCAGATGTAGAAGACTCTGCTGAAGAAGCTTCAAGCCATTCCAAACCAACAAGTCAAGAAATTGTAACAGCAGGACCTGATGTTAAAGAAGGGAAGATAACTCAATTACCTGATGAATATGAATATGATTCTTCAGATGAAGAGGTAAGCTTTCATTTAAGATACTTTTATTTGCTGACAATAGATCAATATTGAGAATAATGTACAAATTTGAATGATTAAATATAACTTAGAAGTCCATTAAATGTTGGGTGTCTAACCCATTGCTCAGTTTTTGATACTGATGCTGATAAAACTGGATCATTTTTACTGTGGATTTTAAGAGAAAGAACCTGAGGCCAACTAGTTATGTGCTTGGATATCTTTAAGTGGCAGTCAGCTTATTCCTACCAGAATAGTTTTCTATTATCAAACATACATTATGCAAGAGCTAAATCTGCCTATTTCAGGTCTTTCTTTAGGCCTGAAATGTTATCTAAATTATTAATTTGACATTAATTAACCCATCCAGGCCATAATCAACTCTAGATGGCAGCGCTAGCCTGCGATCTTAGTGGATTGTAAGCCGATTTACTGCATAACTTTCCTTCTCTATTAAACGATTAAATGGATAATCGACACTATGCTGTTTATCGTACTGACTTTAGTAATGATGACCAAGGCCTATGGGAATTTGAGTCGCTTAGTTTTCGGTTCATAGTGGATCAATTTGAATGAAATTTTCAGCAAATTGCCTTTACATTATCTAGTTTTTAACTATTATAGTGAAAACTGCCAACTCGTTACCGAATCTCCCATGATGTACCTTTAATCAGTCTTAAATCATACTAATTGCTGAATATGCTTATTGATTTTTTGATTTCGGATTTGTACCTGTTTTGAGCTGCGTTATATATACTTTTTTACATAATACCTATTGTTTGCCTCTCAAGAACGTTGTTAAATATAAACAGATATTATTTTGGTAACTAACTAATTTAAGAAATGGGTATGTCAAATGTTTATTAGTTGTTTTCAGATGCAGTAAATTGTAAATGACCATGATATATTGTGTTTTTACACAGTGGAAAGATTGGACATGATTTGGTTATATGCATTGAAAACATTATTTCTACTTTAATGATTAGATTGCATATTGTCATTTATTGTAATAGGGGGGTCACGGTGGCTAAGTGGGTAAGACGCTGACTTGCTAGCCTTAAGATTGGGTGTTTGATCCCTGCATTGGCCGAGAAAGTTCATCCAGATTTTCCGGCGTGGTTCCCGCTTGTCAGTGATGCAGGACAGAGAGGGTCTGACAAGGACAGCTGTCTAGCCGTTTGGAAGGGACGAAAAACCGAGGTCCCATGTACACATTGGCGTGCACGTAAAAGATCCCTTGTCAGTTGGAATTCGATATAAGAGTAGGCCGTAGTGCTGCTGTCCGGGCAAAATTTCCCTTAGCCCAGTTCGGAGTAGAACAGTACATGTAGGAAGTTAAACCCCATTTCATTTCATTTTATATGATTTATTGTAACAGCATCTGCACTCTAACATCAGGAACGGTCGAAACGTCACTGTCGGGGCTAAATAATAACACACTGCATGAGGTATACCCGTCTTCTTTCGCCAAGTCGGTGTCGAAAAGTAGGATGTTAATCCCCAGTTGATTTCTAACATCAGGATACTGTTTAGTGGCACTATTAAATGTCTTTTTGTTTGACCTTTTGTGATTTATATTTTCAGGATATACGTAACACTGTTGGTAATATACCCATGGAATGGTACAGAGATTATCCTCATCTAGGATATGATGTGGAGGGAAAAAAATTATTGAAACCTGAAAAAGGAGATGAACTTGATGAATTCTTAGACAAAATGGAAAATCCAGATTATTGGTTTGTGGAATTGATTTCCTTCATTTGTTTATCACTTCTGAAATTTACTGTGGTTCCTCTCGTTTGTCACCAAATAACCTTATTAGTCTCAAAATAACAAAAGACTTCACAAGGACGCTCGATTGTTAGGTTGAAATGTTCTGAATTGACAGAATTGCATTCGAGTGAGAGGGAATGAAGTCCTGTCACATTTCTGTCAGTCCTGACAACTCGCGTAGTGTGAGTAAAATTATGACGTTATTTAGAGCATATATTGTGTTTCAGCAGTCACGATTGGTTGAATTTTTGTCTTATTCAGTCAGTGCATGCGTTGTAGCTCGAAATCCCACTTTTCACTTGATGTTCGCTATTCATGGGATTGAGAGATTTCAATTCCAGAACATTCAAATAGTAATCCCCATATCTTTCTTTGCGAATGTTCATGAAAAAGAGATATGAATTGTATAATAATCTTTTGTAACCTTAGTAATCTGCACCTCACACCTAATGCTAGGTTATTACTGTCGTGCGATGCATTACGATAGGATACGTTCTGATATGATCAACGCGATTGCTATGACTGACCTCAATATATGATAAGACCTGATGGGATCACCCTGTTCACTCTACGATTAAAACTACAATTCAATCGTAGCACGAACCCAGCATTAAACAAAAACTATTACATTTGTATATGTTTATTGTAGGAGGACAGTGAGTAACAAGTTAACAGGACAGAAAGTTTTACTCAGTAAAGAGGATGTTAAAATAATTCAGAATATGCAGAAGTTTAAGAATCCAGTCGGATCTGACATGTATGAGGTAAATACAGGAATATATATATTCTATGAAACAGAATATTGAAAAGACTTTCCACAATGCTGGGTAACGAAGTCAGGAATGACTTGGATTAGAATCCTGGCATGTACCAAAAAGAAACATCAGTATATTATACACAAGATGTTTGGATGGATTTAAATAAGATCCTATTGTTTACGTGTTGTGTACATAAAGAGGAAGAGTAGGCGTTGTTTGGGGGAGGGGGCCGAATGGTTAATGCATGAATGTTGGATCATAAGGTCTGTCATTGAGTCAAGTGCCAAGGTTTCCATTCCCAGCTTGTACGTCACAAGGAGTAGAGTCGCCTGTCCAACCCCGTGGGTTTTCTCCGGGTCCTCCGGTTTTCTCCCACTGCTAAAGACCCCTACGCACAAGCGAATCATTGAAATAAAATTGAACCATATGTTAGTCCTGAAATGACCTAGTTTGTGTCAAGTGGACGTTAAACCCCATTTTTCTCTCTCCATAGCATTGCCAATGTGACCATTATAAATGAAATTGCCCATATATATATATATATATATATATGTTTTAATTTAAGTTTATCATTTGTTAGTCTCAAATAGTAAATGCAGGTAGACCACACCACACATAAATAATTACACCATAAATAAAAACGACGAAAGATGTTAAACTCAATTCGATTCCTTTTCCCTTTTTTCTGGCAGCTCGCTGTAGATATTAGGTCTGTCACTTCTGTATGTGTGATTTCGATTCCACATTTATTTGGGACAAGAAGGAACACTACCTTCAATATAGTTTTTTTTTATTGAGTTCTTTAGTGTCCTGCTTATGTAGAATGGAAGAAAGACTCAATTTAAATCCTGTCTTTTTTCAAGTAGACTGTGATACCACCAGAATTAAAAGAATAATTGATGCGATAACAAATAATATATTATGAAATATGTTTGTATGATATGATATATATATCTTGTCAAGTATTCTATAAGATATCTGTGAAATCATATAGAATCATTGTTTTATTTTTTCAGCCATGGATTGATTTCTTCACCAATGAGAAAATGATACATCCTGTTTCAAATCGACCAGAAACGAAAGCTTCTTTTATTCCATCTCGTTGGGAAATGTTGAAGGTATGCCTAATATTTACGACTATTCCATTTAAAATAACCTAGGTGTGTGGAAATACGACTTTTTATGAATCAGAATATGTGTATTCACGTTAACCAGTAGAATTGTTTTCTAAAAAATTGCTTTAATTTCAAGTTTTTCTGTGTTACAATATCAGTAGTATGTGGTATAGGATAGATTCTAATGTTGCAGAGTGTCCCCAGAAATCCTGACAATTACAAACAAATATGCTTTAGTCTCATAAATTTATTTTGATATAATTTCAGAATCATCAATTGCTTTTAATAACTTTATTTATATTGTTGTAATAGGTATCTCAAATGGTACATGCTTTAAAGATGGGGTGGATGAAACCGACACCAATTAGAAAACCAGATGAAGAAGACGAGAATAATTTTTATATGTTGTGGAAAGATGATGAAGAGGTAAATATGTGACCCGCTGCTTCCAAACCAGATGCTTGTTGCACAACTTCATTTTGTACTACAGCCACAAAAGCATCAATTGTAGGCCTTCTTGTTGCTGTGAATGAGCTGAACTCAACTCCAGATGATACAACAAATTTAAAAAGAATGGCATTTTTGGAAAGCTTATTCAGTATTGTTCTGTTTATGCAATGAAACAATTGGAATTCGACCTTTCTGAATAGTCCATCTCCAAAGAATGTAGTATGAAGGATTACAGTTATGAAAAATGAGCAATTCATTTGTTTTCAAAATATTATGAAAAATGAGCAATTCATTTGTTTTCAAAATATTGATCCAAACTATTTGAAAATATTGATCCAAACTATTTGAAAATATTGATCCAAACTATTTGAAAATATTGATCCAAACTATTTGAAAATGGGACTGAATGTTTATCGCTTTTTACAGCCAGAAATTACCAGACAGTATCGTCAGTATATTCCTGCACCTAAAGTCCGACTTCCGGGTCATGCAGAATCATATAATCCACCAGAAGAATATCTACCTTCAGAAAAAACTGTAAGTTTATGTATCAGTATTCATACTCCTTAATGTGGTTATATATTTCCATTACTCTTTTCTGTCCACTTGCCTGTCTGTCATTCACATTTTGTTGGCCTGCACAATAGAGGCTATGAGAATCTTTTTGAAATGGATATAATGTTGTCTGCTCATTAAAATTTTATATTGGCTCTGTCAGTTACCTCATGAACAGTGTGACAATTGACAGGTGTCTCAATGACAGACCTTGTGATGTTAACCATTCAGCCACCAAACCCCCTTGAATGGAGGCACATTGAAAGTTTTTTTCAAAAGTTAATTCTAGTGACTGTCTATTAATTGAATATAGTAATAGGTTGACCATCACCTTTAAGTAGGACTGAAAGATCTCTCTCCTTCCTTACATTAAATAACTTTGATGCCAGACTCATCATATAATTTTAAGCCTAAAACAAGTGAGTCGCTTTGATTCCCTCGACTAATGGATATATGTAATATATTCTGCTAAAACTATCATTAGATTTATTAAGATGACTGGTTGACAAATGATGACGGAGCCACGGTGGCTCTGTGAGTAAGGTACTGGTTCTCTAAAGAGGAGGGCCTTAGTTCGATCCCGGTGTTGACTGAGAAAGTTTCCCTCCCATCGTCAGTCGTGCAAGATGGAAGGCTAGCGTCCAGTGGTTCGTATGCAAAAACAAACCAAGGATCAGTGTACATGTTGGCACATATTTAAAAGAAGCAATGAAAGTTAGAATCGAAAATAAGAGTGGCATGTAGTGCAGCTGTCTGGGCAAAATGTCCTCCATAGCACACTGTATGCCAAATACCCATCTTCATTAGACCAGTTAGTGCAAAACAGTAGGACGTTAAACCCCATTTCATTTTATTTCATGTAATAATAAATTGCTTGGTGTGTTTAGGTGGAGAGGTTAAAGAAAGAAATAGCCAGGGGAAAAACCAGAACAATTCCACAGAAGTTCTCCTCCCTCCGTCTGGTTCCTGGGTTTAAAAATTTTATCAGAGAAAGATTTGAGAGATGTCTTGATTTATACCTCTGTCCACGACAACGTAAAGTTCGAGTATGTATATATATGTTTATTTATTGTTTGACCACCTAAGAGTGTGCAAAAAAATGTTTGTGACTATACTGGTATAAACTCTATTCTATTATATATAGGTTGAAAGAAAGTCTTTCAGAAATTTTAAAAAAAATCTTTTTTAATAGATATTAGATTATATAACAGTGTTTTTTTATGCCTGAATTATCTCCCCATTGCCCATAAAATACTTCGATTTCAAAAAGTTATTTCCCTTATCATCATACATGGACCTATATGTGTTATATGCATGTATAAAACACTGAAAAAAACTCCTCTATCAAATTTATTTTACATAAGTTGAATTTGAGTAACATTCCAATTCACAGGAACCGAACTGTTAAAGTCGCTGATTGGAATTTGTATTTTTCGAACAATATCTAATCCATGGTTAAATTCACCTAAATAGATTATTTAACAACATTTTGTAGGAAAACAAAATCAAAGTAATCTCCCAGCTTGGATTCAATTGGATTAAAAGAGGCTTATCAAAATATATTACCCCAACATGGATTGGGGCCACTCTTGCTGGTTTATTTTGTCTTCAGAGGATGCCGAATGTTGTGAAATTTCCAATCTTTCATCTCTTTGTAAATACTGATATTCGAGTTTCAACTTTAATAATATTGTTGTTGGCAAAGGATTCAAAATCCCTCAAATGCTTAACCTTGGTTTTAAATTACTTTTTGATTCATTTCTCAATGACCAACATTATTTTATCTCCAAGTTTTGTAACAATCTACCACATTTGTTTTTGTAGATGAATGTGAATCCAGATGATCTGATACCAAAATTACCTAAACCACGAGATCTTCAGCCCTTCCCAACTACAGAATATCTTGTATTTAAAGGTCATAAAGGAATTATACGTACTATTTCACCCGATCCTAAAGGACAGTGGATTGCTTCAGGTTAGTATAGATTCATTTATCCTCTTTATTATTAAACAGTTATACCTTCAACTGAGTCATTTGAGTCAGCAATTCAATGATTTTTAGAGAGTGCAGTAGGGTCGACTGTCCAACCTCCTGCATCCACTCACTGCTACCGATCCCTACGTGCAAACCAATTATTGAAATAAAATCAAACCATATGTTATTCCGAAAATGACGAGTGGACGTTAAACCCCATTTCTCAGTGAGTGTTGTGCTGGCTCATGAACCAAGTGGTCCCTGGTTTGATCCATGTCTTGATCACCAAAGTATAAAATAATTTGTTAGCTATGTGAAATTAATGGTATAAGGTGTTCTAGAAACATTAAAGTTACTATTCCCCATGCACAGCACAAATCACTTACATATTTTGGACTGATACATTTGACTACCATTTCACAGGCTATCAACACTATCACCAGTAAATATTTTTTAAATATCAAATTATGTTTGAGTGAAAATATTTGTCGAAACTTGAATAAATTAAATTATTGGGGATTTTCACGTGTTAAATATTTTGAAATGATATTGAATTGTATACACTGTCAAATTATATTGGAGTGAAACTATATCTTGAAAATGAAATAAGTAGTGTTTCTTCCACTTGTTTGAATATTTAGAAATGAAAGAGATTAAAGATACGTTATGGGAGATTAGATAACGAGTTGGCAGTTTTCACTATCATAGTTAAAAACTAGATAATGTAAAGGCAATTTGCTGAAAATTTCAGTCAAATTGATCCACTATGAACTGAGAATTGAGAGATTGAAATTTCCGCCTAGCTTCGATCATCATTACTAAAGTCAGTACGATAAAAAGCATAGTCTCGATTATCCATTTATTGATTAAACCGTGAAGGGAAGTTATGCAGTAAATCGGGTCAGAATCCACTAAAGATCACAGGCTAGCGATGCCGTTGAGAGTTGATTATGGTACGGATAAGTTAATTAATGTCTAATTAATAATTTAGATAACATTTCAGGCCTAAAGAAAGACCTGCAATAGGCAGATTTAGCTCTTGCATAATGTATGTTTAACCTTGGTGTTGTTTTATTTTAGGCTGTGATGATAAAACAGTAAAGATATGGGAAGTAGCAACAGGAAGATGTATAAAGACGTTTAATGTAGAAGCTAAAGTTAAAGGAGTTGCCTGGAATCCCAACCCATCATTATCTATTATAGTTGTAGCTGTGTATGTATCATACTTACTTAAGAGTTTAAATATATTTCCTGTACTTTGTCCCATCCACTCTGGTCAGACTTAATGCAGGTGGACTACATTCAGATGGAACTGTGTGAAGTTTGGTACGTGTCTGTAGAGTAGGCAAACTTTTTCTCCCCCACATTGCCAAGTAAAGATAGAAATAAAGATATATTTTCTGTACTTAGCCCAGGTCTTCCGACAAGAACAGTGTGTCTGGTCTTTCAGGTGGCACGTCAATCAAGATTGCTGTGTAAAAATTTCCAGCATACATAAAATATACCTTGAAGATAGAAATAGGTATATGTTAGTCTTAGTATGACCACATACTGTGTTGATAGGACATTAAACTCTATTGCTTTTAATGTACTCCAGATAGACAAAAACTGCTAAAATTTTCTGACTGTTATTTTCGATCTGTGGTAACAAAAGGAACATTAGGTGTATTACTTTGTACTGTTCTTCATATTGCTTCCACTTTGTTTACTGTTTTTCAAGTTTCCCCAATAATTTTAAACCGTTCAAGTACCTGCGGAAGAGAAAATTCCCTCGAATTTTCAAGCATGGTTTCCACTTATCAGTTGGGTGCAGGACAGAGGGTGTGGCAAGGACAGTGTCTAGAAAACCCTTGTAAAAGATCCCTTGACAGTTGGTATTTAAAATAAGTGTAGCAAGTTGTTGCCGCTGTCCAGACAAAATTTCCCTCATAGCACACTTGTCTGCTGATCGCCTGTCTTATTACACTAATCACAGTAGGACATTAAACCCCATTTCATTTCATTACTCTAATCAAGTTTCATTCACATTGTTATACTGTTCTTCAATTTCCACAGAAATATCTTATTAAATGATACTATGTTATATAGATTTATGCATGTTATTATTTTATAATGGATATTTATGTTTGTGTAATTTCAGTGAAACTAGTTTAATTATAATAAATCCACAGGTTGGAGATAAACTGATCTGTTCAAAGACTGATTTACTTATAAATAGTTTTGAAGATGTTGAGTTACCCCCGGGACCAACTGGTAAGATATAAATATAAGATATGCCATGTGTATTGTATTTGGTCTCATTACAAGAAAAAATAGAAAATGTTTAAAGATATATTCCCTTCAGCATAATTAGGTCAAGAAATGATATTTCTAATGACCAGGATATATAGAATTATAGACTAAAATTGCATTAAAATTTGCAACGGATAAACCAAGGCTTAATTGTACAGATTTAAATCCCTGGTACTGTTGGTTGGTTTATAATATGACAAATATGAAAGAGTATATGTGTGAAATTGTCTGAATAACAAGTCTGTTTACACATAAACCAAGGGGGCAGCACGTCAAAGATCCACTGGCAGCTGGATATCTAAATAAGAAATAAAAAATACCAAGAGGTCCTATTTATACCTACTGAATACAAAAGATCTCTGTCGGTTGGAATTCTATTGGTACACTGGCAAAATTACACACGAAATAGGATATAAATTATTCTATGATATTCTTTCAATAATTGCAATGCTGTGTTGTTGGGACATTGGTTATGTTAACACTAATACAATGTTGTCTATGATACACAGATTTCAATTGCTCTTGTCAGTAATGATAGCAAATTTATTAATTACCATTGTAGATAAACCTAAAGTAACAGAATGGGAATTATACGAAGATGAGGAATATGAATTGGGATTCCGTTTAAAAATAAAACATCAGCGAGAAATATCACAGGTTACGTGGCATGGAAAGGGAGATTATTTTGCTTCCACCATGCCTAAAGGAGAAAGTAAATCAGTTTTAATTCATCAACTGATGAAACGTAGATCACAGGTAGGTGTTACAATCGGCACTCCCTGGGCTTGCTAAAATCCTACTGACGGGTTTTGGGGTCTTCTATTAAGATTATCATTCTTAAATCCCACTGATGTTTTGGGGGTGGTTTAGGTGTATCTTTGGTTGAGGTTGGAGGGTGGATGGGTGGGGGTAGGTGTTGATTCTTTTAAAATGCAACAAAGAAGAGTTGGGATAAGTTGAGATAGTAAACTGGTTGGGGAAATAGACACATGGCTTGATTGTAGAGATTTGAATCCCTTTTTTTCTAAACCCATGTTACTACTACTGGTCAGTTATAATGTGATCAAGATGAAAGCGTATATGTGCGAAATTGTCTGAATGGCAGGTCTGTGTAAACTTTGACAATGCAGCCACATAGTCATCGCTGTATCATTGATCTTCTCAAATTAATTATAATGAATAATGTGATAATAATAAATTAAAGTTCTGTCATTTACAAACTACTCTATTTTATTTTTTCAGAATCCATTCTCTAAACCGAAAGGTTTAGTACAGTGTGTACTATTTCATCCAATTAGACCCTTCCTGTTTGTAGCTGTAAGTAATATATATATCTCTATTATTTATCTCTTGTAACATATTAAGTTCAAAAGCTATGTTTTTTGTATGCAAGTACTACATAGGTTTAAAAGACAAACTGATCTAGATGCATAATAATTGTCTATGACATATCAGCTTATTAATGCCTCTTGAGTCTTCAATTGATTTTAATTTGAAAATTCTGGGTATGCACAACATTCATTGAGTTTATTCACTTGATTTGATATTTGTTGTTAATTTTTTTGCAATGTTGGTGTGGTTTGTCGGTTCTCCGGCACTTACTATAAGTGTATTTCAAAGAAAAATATAAATAGCATAGACTAACTCTTTCTTCATTCTGTCTCAGCAAGGCAATTGTTACTCTGTTAAATTAAACACTGACATATCGTTAGGATAGTGCAATATAAATTTTATAGCATGAAAAATTTTGTTTGTTGAAGAGAAATGGCTTCTCGAAACCGGTAAGAACATCATAGTATGTTCTGTGTCTGTACCACGGGGAAAAGATAGTCACAGAATGACTCCCAGGGCTGGATGATAGGTGTTGAAATTACATAACATCTAGGTGCAACTTATGCATCGAAAAACATAGTACCTTAATTACTATTTGTTCACATTGTATTTTTTCAGACTCAAAGATATGTTCGTATTTATAATTTAATGAAACAAAGTTTATCAAAGAAGTTGTTAAGTAATTGTCAATGGATATCAAGTATGGCTGTTCATCCTGGCGGTAAGTGTTACTATATATATCATTGTTTTAATCAAAGAAAGCTTTGAGGGGTAGCGTGGCTTTAGATCATAAGATCTGTCATTGCCTCAAGTGGCATGGTCTCGATTTTCAGCTTGTACTTGACAAGGACTAGGGCTACCTGTCCAACTGTGTTCTCCTGTTTCCCCCACTGCTAATAAAAACCCAATGAACAAGTGATTATTGAAATAAAATGGAACCTTATGTTAGTCCTGAAATGACCTAGTTTGTGTTGCATGGACGTTAAACCCTATCTCTTTCTCTCTTGAACTTGAATATAACCGTAAGGCATTTATTTCTTGTTGAAAGAGCTCATGCCATTAACACAAGTATTATAACCATTCAAACTACTATCAATAATGTATGTATTGAGTAATTAACTGATGTATATGTTGTATTACAGGTGATAATGTTATAATAGGAAGTTATGATTCTAAGTTAGCTTGGTTTGATTTAGATCTATCAACAAAACCTTATCATACCCTCAGGTAAGTTGAACGTAATCCTATAACCTAAAATTATTTATAACTTAATATTTTAACAATAAAAAGATTTTGTGCTCTTTCATAGGGATTTAAGAACATACACGATCATAGTTAAATTATTATTCAAATCGATCAATACAAATTTGAGTTATGGCCATTTGAAGTTTACATTGATAATCCCTTGTAAACTACAATATTGTGAAAGTTGCATTTCCGATTTTACACATATCTTTATATATGTCCTAAAAAAATAAAGCAATGGTAATGGAGCTATCATTTTTGTACACGCTTGCTAATTCTTTTTGTAAATGTATAGTCTGTTAATCTTAGAATGGACGAGGAATTATGTTAACGAAGTGTTGTATAGCAAGTGTTGTATAGCATGACGTTTATAAATATTTTACATTTATAGTATCTTTATATACATGTATGTCTTAAACAAATGTAGTAAAATTTTTTTGTACAAGCTAGGGGGTTTGGATGACCAAATTCTTATCGCTGGTGGGTTTGATCATAAGGTCTGTTATTGAGTTTACTGGCTTGATTTCGATTCCCCAGTTGTACGTGACAAGGAGTAGGGTCACCTGTCTAACCTCGTGGGTTTTCTCCGGGTCCTCCAACTGCTAAAGACCCGTATGCGCAAGTGAATTATTGAAATAAAATTGAACCATATGTTAGTTCTGACCTTGTTTGTGTTGAGTGGGCGTTAAACCCCACTTCTCTTTCTCTCTTTGTACAAGCTTGCTTATTCTTTGTGTAAAAATAACTCTGTTAGTCTCAAAATGAAGGAAGAATTATGTTGAGAAGATGTTGTGTAGCATTTGGCATTTATAATTATTTTGAACACATAGTATCTTGCTTATTCTTCATGTAAAACACCTCTGTTAGTTTCAGAATGCTTGAGGGGTGTTGGATTGCTGAATGGTAAGCTCATGCGCACTGTATCAGAGGATCTGTCATTGAATCAACTGGCGCGGTTTCGATTCCCCGGTTGTATGTGACAAGGAGTAGCGTTGCCTGTCCAACCCCGTGGGTTTTCTTCAGGTCCTCTGGTTTCCTCCCACTGCTAAAGACCCCAACGCGCAAACAAATTTTATTGAAATTAACTGGTGTGTGTTGAGTGGACGTTAAACCCTCTCTAAGAATGCTTGAAGAATTATGTTGACAAAGTGTTGTGTTTAGCAAAAAGTTTATGAATATTTTGTTCTTATTTCAGACATCACACCAAGGCTCTTAGATCCGTGACTTATCACAAACGTTATCCGTTATTTGCGTCGGCATCTGATGATCTGTCTGTGATTGTTTGTCATGGTATGGTCTATAGTGACTTATTACAGAATCCTCTTATAGTTCCTGTTAAAGTTTTACGGGGACATAAAGCAGCTAAAGGACTGGGTGTTCTAGACTGTCAATTCCATCCATCACAACCATGGATCTTTACTGCTGGAGCTGATGGAACAATACGCCTTTATACTTGAAGTGATTTTCTTTCAATTGTACGAAGAAAACAATTTGTTTAATATTCAGTGTGGCATCGATAATATGGATTTTACCAACTAAAAATTTTGAAACTTTTCCGATGAATAAAATCATGAGATACTTTGTTTGAAGTATGTGGAGATTTATAAGGTATGAAAAGATGGCCTATGGGAAGAATGAAGCATATATAGACTTAGTCCTTGATAACCAGTCATATTATACATCATTGACCTAAGTAATCAAGATATGATTGATATTTTCTTGGCTTCCCAACAACAGAAGTTATACATTTCGTCTAAACAATATATTGTGTTATGATTTCTGATTGTCACTGTATTTTAAGGAATGATAATTTATTCCATATCTGCAAATATTTCATTATCTGGTTGTTAAAAGCCTCCTTAATCTTGTGAACATTGCCTCAAAAGTAATCACATACACCTTTCTATCGCTTTATAAATGTTGAATTGAAATTTTGGTCAATTTACCTGTTAGTACTTGTCTGTTAATGAGAAAGAAATAAGAAAATTGATTTTGTTGCATTACCTGTATATGTTTTTATGAAGAGTTTCCGAACTAAGATATTTCTATGCAAACAGTCAGTCAGGATGCCATTGCATGTTTATATTAGTGTTGGTGGTGTTACGAATGGTTTCTGGTAATCTGCTTCAAGAAGTCCCTTACTTGGTTTCCTAATTGTCAATAACTTGTCATTTATTTGATGATAAAATACAAAATACTTCATAGTTTTCATATGACAGTACAGCAAGAATAAATATTGTGATATATCATAATAGGTAATCGACTCGTATTCTGTCCTAGTTCCAAATCAGGTGTTCAATAGCAGTTTGCACATGTCAGATTGATGTATGATGTACACATGTATGTTTTTGTCAAATTGTTGTTATATACATGTATATATATAGATAAATCACCATCCATCACCTGTAGGCATTTTATTTTTATGTCAGTAATATGTAAAATATGTAACCTGTAATACCATCTGTAATATAGAAAGCTCCAGACCAAATCTATATTTGATTATATTACTTTGACACAACTAAACATGTTGGATGGCTGAATGGTTAGCATGTACGCGCTGTATCATAAAGTCTGTCATTGAGTCAACTGGTGTGGTTTTGATTTCCTGGTTGTACCTGACAAGGAGTAGGGTCGCCTGTCCAACCTCATGGTTTTTTCTGGGTCCTCCGGTTTCCTCCCACTGCTAAATACCCCTACGCTCAAGCGAATTATGGAAATAAAATTGAACCATATGTTAGCCCCGAAATGACCTAGTTTTTGTTGAGTGGACGTTAAGTCCAATTTCTCTCTCTCTCAATTTCAGGTATTTGTTCTAGCTTCAAATGTTACATAAACTATTATTTAGACATTTATTAACAAGACAAGCCCATAATCAACTGTCTAGATATTGAATGGATTAGAATCATGTTGCCATATAATGATAAAATGGATAATTAAGGGGGTGCTCCATTGTCAAATCGGAATGTGCTGAATTGACGGAATTGCAATCACGTGTGCTAACCTTATTTACATCTCGCCGACCTTGACAAAAAATTGAGCTGGCCTTAACAAATAGATTTAGCCGTTAATGATCTGGGTGCCAATTATGACAGGATATGGATTAATAGGCACTTGATAACACCCACCTAGTTCACATCCAGGGCACCCAATTAGATCAAAATATTATTTGTAAACCGTACAGACCCCCATATGCGTGAAGGCCATGTCCCAACTCATTACAATATACTGTCTGTGACGATAATCCGGTTGCCTCCCACTGCTAAAGACCCCTACGCGCAAGCGAATTATTGAAATAAAATTTAACCATATGTTAGTCTCGAAATGACCTAGTTTGTGTCGAGTGGACGTTAAACCCCATTTCTCTCTTTATGACGATAATTAAAAGAACTTGATAGCCTTTTAAATACTTATAGTATTATAGACGAAAGGCTAAAACACATTTTTCCCGGAGGTACCCACGGTGGCTCACTAACCACGACCCTTGTGTTGGCCGAGAAAGTTCATTGGTATTTTCCGACGTGGTTCCTCCATGTCAAGGCTGTTTCGGCCAAATGTCCCTCATAGTACACTGCACGGCGTATGTCCGTCTTCATTAGCCCAGTCGGAGTATGACATTGAACGTAATTTCATTTCCTTTCCCGGAGGTCATTGATGCGGCCAATATTTTTATTCGAACAGATTAAATATCCAAACGGTTTTAAATGAAGATATTTTATTAAGTATGACGTCAAACCCCATTTCGTTTCCTTTCCAGGAGGTTATTGATGTGGAAATGAAATGGGGTTTAAAGTCCTACTGTTCTGCTCCGAACTGGGCTAATGAAGACGGGCATACGCCATACAGTGTGCTTCGGCCTACTCTTATATCGAATTCCAACTGTCAAGGGATCTTTTACGTGCACGCCAATGTGTACACGGGACCTCGGTTTTTGGTCCCATCCGAACGACTAGACAGCTGTCCTTGTCAGGCCCTCCTTCCTGCATCACTGAGGAGGGCCGGAAAATGTGGATGAACTTTCTCAGCCAATGCAGGGATCGAACACCCGACCTCCAGGCTAGCGAGGCAGCGTCTTACCCACTTAGCCACCGTGATCCACCATCGATGTGGAAGAAAAAGGAACGGAACAGATCTGAATTTTAATCGGGTTGATGGACAGAAAGAAAAGTTAAACCAGTGGCCAATATTTTTATTCAAACAGAATAAATATAAAAAAGTTTTTCTTTAAAGATATATTATTAAGTAAACTACTGTGGGTGACCAGGAAGCCGACCTCCTGGAACAGCTTCTATTTTTAAATTGTCAAATTTAGCCAATCCGTATGGACGTGTACCAAAACCCACAAAACCATTAACAATCTCATCAGGAAACCTCACAACAAACAATGTCTTGTTATTCAGATAACCAGTAGCTAGGTCATTCTGTAAAAAAAAAAAAATGTTAATGGTCCCCAGTAACACAGAATCGGTTTACCGAACTATAATTACGGACATAACGACCAACCAAAGCTTAACCTAGGCGGCTACCTCTATTCGGAATGACGCCTTAACATTCTGTATCTTAACAATAATTACAATTTTTCTAATCTGAATTAATACTTCTGGAGTTCATATGCAGTATGAAGAATTTAAGGGAAGGTCAGGAACGACTAAACTGAAAATGGATTTAACGCTCTTTCTGCATGACCAAGGAAAAGCCATGCTGAAACACCCCAAAGCGACCACACATTTACTGAGCGGGCGTAATACTCGCCGAGCCACCGTGGCTCAACACGATGATGAGCCGCAAGAAATAATGGCTATTATTTTGTAATGAAGTGTTTATCAACAGTTAGAATAATTGTCATCTAGTGTAATATCGGATGATGCGATCTGATATTGTTACCAATAATGGAAATCGTGGCCTTGGCGTAGATGTAGTGTGTGGCATTGAGTAGAATGATACCGTACCCTCATAAACTAACAATTCTTGTACTTCTTACCTTAACAGTCAGTTTCATGTTAGTAAACGTATCTTGTGATACAGGATCAATTTCCCCACCGGCAATTTTTCTTTTATGCACTAAAACATATAATGTTAAAATTCTAAAATTATTTCGACAAAACAAAATTCGACACACATCCTGCGAAAGTATAGTCAAAATAGGATTACCCTTGGACTTACTATATAAAAATAAGCAGTGAATATCGCAAAAAGTATTTTTATTTTTCCTTATCAATCCGTTTTAATCTGGCAACACTAAACGTGACACCCCTACCCACAAGAGTTTCACAGAAACGCTTGCATCTGGAGAAAAAAGGAAGCATAGACTGTGTCGGACCTTGACAGTCTGTTCTAAAGTTTAACAATTAAATAAATGCTAATCTTTATAGCCCCCCCCCCCCCACAAACACACACACCTGACTTTATATAGAAGTAATAAGGCATCTGGGGAAGAAATCAGGCAGTCTCAGGCCTGGATAATCTGTTCTAAAGATTAACAAAATCCAAAATCACCTTAAGCAGACCCAAGAAATGCAACCATAATGATTTTAAAATGAAAACTTACCGAATCCTTCGAAAACAGAAAACCGTCCTTCTTTAGGATATAAGTAGAAATACAGTCCTAGTGCCTTAGGCGCTCTACAACCTCCCAGATTAATTCTGGCACCAACATAAACACCATCTGTTGTGTTTACTCCTGACACCAATACGTCTATACTTATTGATATATCTGTCCTAAAAATTTCACAAATATGGTTATTATCTAATAGGTCTGACAGTACACCATAGATGTCACTAAATTTGAATTCATCTTCAGTTAAAGATTTTTCTTATTTTAAAAATCACGATCATCTCGACGTAATGATCATTAAGCCGGATTGAAGCATTACTACCAATAGTATCAAATCTCTCCATATCTGAATCTGTTGCCAAGACAGTATTAGGAATGATAATAGGATACTACTTACCAGTCGTAGCTGCCAACTAGATTAAGGGATGTATTAAAAGAATCTACACCACAGTTAATAACTGGTTGTGATAGAACCATCTGCTGTAGAACTTTATTACCATTATGATCAACTACTTCAAATGCGCCGGTCTGCTGAGCTAAATTATACGCATCTCCATTAATATCATAACCTGAAAAAGCAGCCAAACCTGTATATGCTTAAAAAGACTAGACCTCTTCGATCTTGGTAAAACAATTGTATACCTTTTGTAGGATGACTATAATAGGCCTATGTCTTTTTTGTAAATATTTCGTTTATAGATAAAGCCAGACATAGCAATTTTCCGATCCTCTGTCAACACCCATTAAGCCGAAATTTGAACTTAAATGAGTAAATAAGCCGACTTTTCGTCAAAAATTCAAAGCACACATATCCCACAAGACTACCCCAAATAAACAATTCAAAACTTGATTATGGCATATCAAAAGGTTTGGAGCCAAATTTTTGTTGGTTTTTGCGCGAATCCGTCAGGGTTATACTTAGGATTAAGGTGCGCTTTTGATAAGAATTATTTTAAAAAATTACAAATTGGAATAAACGCTGATAATGTACCTTCAAAGTCTTCAGTATAAGGAAGTGGGAATGATTTAGAAATTGGCGATTCTGGGTAAGACCCTTTCACTCCAGTATCAACAGTTGTTAAAGTGATGACTTCATCAACACCAACATCCAATGATACCATACCATTAACCACCTTAAAGATATTAAGACATTTGTAGGGGTTCTTTGTATTAAAATAATTTTTTAAAAAAAAACCCACATACCCAGTACAATTTATTTTATCAAATTTAAAACATGGCGATATTTTCGGCGAAAACACCACGTAATATATCCCGGCAGTTGGTTAACGGAAACGCCACTGTCCGTGCATAATTTACCCCAAAGCACACTGCATTCCGAATGCTGGTCTTCATTAGCTCAATTGGTGCAAAAACATAGCACGGTAAACTCTATTTCATATTCAGATATTTCCCACTATTGAATGCATTAAAATTACAGTTACCTGTAGTGGTGTTTCTTTTATGAAGAAAGTCGAATTTTTCAAGTAAAATCCTGGTTTACTGTGCCATACGTTTAATTGTTTGATATTTGCCTGGAAAGGAATTGGAAGGTTTAGTTCAGGACACAAACAATTATTTTCCAAAATAAGAGAGAAAGAAGTGTGTGATAGTAGCGGTAGTGGGGTGAACGTCCAATCAGCCCAGCAGTGGGATGAAACAAAAGAATCCAGAGAAACCTTATGGCTTTTACCCATCGGGCAGGAATGGTCTCATAGAGAATGCCTGTGTGTATGGTAGGATGTGGGTCCCCAAAAGATGTTAATGTTCAGGGATGGTCTCAAAGAGAATACCTGTGTGAGTTTGGTAGGCTTGGGAACCCCACAAGATGTAAAAGTTCTCCAGTAGTTAGGGGTCCTCTCTTTCCATTTGCTGGCACATTTTAGTCTAGAATTTACATTGTTTGTTGATGAATTGGTGAGACTGTCACGCGGTAAATCTGTGCATAAACTAAAGCAACAAGGTATACTACCGACCTAAGAAATAAGGAATCTGAATACGAGAGAAATGTTACTTGACAAAGGACAATATACAAGTGTCGATTGATGCCCACACCCTCCTACTTACGTATGATCCATTAAGTTGAAAACTAAAAGACTGTGGTCTAACTTGGTAACTAGGTAGACCAGGTCTGATACAGATAGAATGATCATGGGTCTGAAATATAAAATACAAGTCCGGTAAAACGCTCTAATGTTGGTGATGCAACAGGTTTAATTTCATTTAATTCCAGAAATTAGAAATATTTCAGCAGATTTCTCATATTATACTTTTGTTTACATTACTGGATGAACTGTCATTTAATCTAAGTGGGAGGGCGGGGAGGGTGGCCGAATGGTCATCGCGTGCGCGCTGCATCACAAGGTTTGTACGTGACAAGGAGTAGGGTCGCCTGTCCAACCTCGTGGGTTTTCTGCGGGTCCTCCGGTTTACTCCAACGGCAAGAGAATTATTGAAATAATATTGAACCACATGTTAGCCCCGAAATAACCTAGTTTGTGTCGAGTGGACGTTACCCGCCCCCCCCCCCCCTCTAAATATAAAATCTACACATATTTACCATAGTTTCAATGACAATAGTTAGCTGTTTTCTGTCTGGAGATGTGAGAGCTACGTAACTACCACCGTTGTCAAGCAAACCCACTCCATGATCATGATGAAGGTAGTCCCAGCCAATATCAGTAAATTGGGTTGTGTGAGCTGAAGAAAAAGGAAAAACAACCAGGTAATACTACCTTTAAATTCTGATAACGTTGTAGCAGCCCAATGCGTTGAAAATATGACAAATAAATATGACATATCAAAACAATGATTTTCTGTTGTTGTGATCCTTGAAGAAACTGTGAAATTCTCAATTTTACACATACATTAAACTAACCAGTTATCCAGATTGGTGATTTGACTTCATAATGTCCGCTCCAGGGTTCCATGGCGGTCATTAACCCCTGCTCATAGAAGGGGAGGGGAAAATAATAACTGGCTATAAGATTCCATGAGACGGTCCTAAATCAAACAAGATAAAAATGAAAATTAATCTACATTTGACATGAACGAAGCGTTTTTTTTTCTTAGGATGTATTATAACTTGTATAGAATAACTTTCTAAATGCTGAAAGAGGTACTGTTTTGGAACATATAATACTCACGCTGTCATCAAACCATTAACATAATTCTGGTTTAAAATCTACAATATAAATAATTCAATATATTGATATGCATATGAAGTATTTTACCCACCCTAACAACTGGAGTACTTAACCTAATCTAGCAAATGCAATGCTTTAGCCAACCTAGTCTAGTGTCTGAAATCTTTTAGTCTAGCATATGTATCTGAAATGTTTTAGCCACTCTAGTCTAGAAACTGACATGTTTTAGTCAATCTAGTGAAAAGTTTAAACCACCCTAGTCTAGCAACTGAAATGCTATAACCACTTTTGCATCGGGACTGTTTTACGCATTACATGACCATAACCAAGCATCTGAGCAGTTTCAGTCCCAAATAGTTTATCAACTCTATCTAGCATCTGGAATGTTTCATTCCCAATTATTTAATACACAGCCATAACCTACCATCTGACCAATTAAACAACCCTAATCTAGCAACTGAAATGCTATAACCACTCTTGCATCGGGACTGTTGTATTACATGACCATAACCAAGCATTTCAGCAGTTTCAGTCCCAAACATTTAATCAACAACTCTATCTAGCATCTGAATAGTTTCATTCCAAACCATTAAATCCACAACCATAATCTAGCATCTGAACAGTTTAAACCCACACCGCATCCTATCTCCGACTGCTACGTATGCTAAACTAGCATCTAAAGAACACTATGATCTAATTTTAATCAGATCAGCTTTATTCCACAAATAAGTCACTACTTCTGGCAGGTTTTATTCCACCTACACATCTATCCAGCATTTAGTATTCCGCATCTACTATTCTAGACCACTTAAAGCGATCTTATATACTTACCCTAGCCCAGCAGCCGCCACCAACTTCATCGTTAAAGGTACTATAATCAGCGGACGCCCACAACGTTTTGTTAGTTTTCACTGCAGAATCGGTGCTAAAGGTTCCGGGAAAATGAGCTCTGGTAGAAATTAAACAAAAGTAAAATTTACATTTCCTGAAGCATAGTGATCTGGATTGGAATTGCTTGGCCTATCTGCCACGCCATGACTCCTGGACATTTTCTGAGGAATTGAGATCTGGATTTGAATTGCCTGGCCTATCTACCACACGACTCGTGGACTAAAGCAGGACAGGAACACGCATGTCTATCTCAAGTTTGTATGCCTACGTACCTTACCCCAACATTTCCATGGAAGCAAACCTATTTAACTACAGAGCAAATAACTCACCCGATAACAGAAACTGCCTTTGCTAAATCAGGATCCTTTAAAATATCGTCTGCTATATCCCAGTGATTATCAGAACCAAGAATCATGGTGTTATTAAAACCAGCTGCATCTAACATACTACGAAAAATCTGTTAATGGACAAAGCAAAGATGAAACATCGGCTGTAGATAGGGGTAGATTAAGGGACAGACAGATTAAGGAGACCCTCCTTATTAATTCAAGCCATACAAATAAACACGTCAGAGTTACAGGCTTAAGAGCATTTTTGTGTGAAAAACGGCGATTCGATTTCAATTGAGGACTATGATTAGACAGTGGCTTTTTGGGGACCACGGTGACAAACGTTGAATTTTGACACATGTAGGATGCATGTAATCACCCGAATCTTGCATACAATGGCATAAAGGTGTGCTAGAAGGTACTTAGCTAGTATTCAATGATAAATATTCTATAAACACTGTTGCCATTCAACCATATAGCTACTAGTAACCGAAGTAATACATAGGGGGATCTTTAATTTTAGTGTTCAGTAGGAAAAAAATCCAAATGAAGATAAATATCATTTGCGATTTGTAGAAATCTAAAAAATCTGGACATACCTTGATGTAATCAATACTGTAAGGTCGTTCATTCCATAGCTATACACCATAACCAAAATTTAGAAAAATAGAAAATGGATAAACTAAATTAAATGAAATGAAATGGAGTTTAACGTCCTATACAATTCTGCTCCGACTGGGCTAATGAAGGAGGGCATACGCCATATACAGTGTGCTCTGAGGGAAATTTTACCCGGGTAGCGGTACTATGGCCTACACTTATACCGAATTCCAACTGCCAGGGGTTCTTTTATTGCACGTCAATGTAAACACGGGACCTCGGGTTTTCGTCTCATCCGAACGACTAGACAGCTGTCCTTGTCAGGGCCTCTGTCCTGCACCACTGGCAAGACGAACCACGTCGGAAAATTCCGATGCAGGGATCTAACCCACTTATCATCCTGGCTCCCAAAACATGAATAAATAATTTGTTGTTGGCCGTAAGTTTTGGTGCAAAAGTCTTTTTTATCATGCCGAATTGTATAGTCATTTGATTAATAAGTAAACTAAAACTTTACTTTGGATTCTAATTCATGATTCATATCGTTGTTACAATAACTTCATGTCCAAAATAAGCTTGAAGGTTTGTTTTCTAAATTTAAAAAATATAATACTCTGTTCTGAACTTGAAACGTACACCAATATAATCAATGTCCAGGTTATGGTACAGTTTAGCTCCTCGGATCCATTTCACCATATAAGTGGCAGTGCGTTCAGGAAATCCCCATGGTGTTCCTTGGGCATCCCGTAGCCATCCTGGATAACCCCATGGTAAACCATACAACTTGATATTGGGATTTCTCTGAAACAGAAAGTATAATAGAGTAATGTAAAGGAGAGATCGTTGATTCGTGGTGCTTGAATGACAAACCGAAATGATCAAAATATTTACCAACTTGGGGGCCACGGTGGCTAGTTGGTTAAGACGCTGGCTCGCTAGCCTGGAGGTCGGGTGTTCGATCCCTGCATTGGCCGAGAAAGTTCATCTGGATTTTCCGACGTGGTTTCCCCTTGTCAGTGGTGCAGAACGGACGGCCTGACAAGGACAGCTGTTTAGTCCTTCGGATGAGACGAAAAACCGAGTCCCGTGTATATATTGGAATGCACGTAAAAGATCCCCTGGCAGTTGGAATTCGATATAAGAGTAGGCGATAGTGCCGCTGTCGGGGCAAAATTTCCCTCATAGCACACTGTATGGCGTATGCCCGTCTTCATTTGCCCAGTATAGGAGCAGAACAGTAGGACGTTAAACCCCATTTCATTTCATTTGTTACTAAACTTCAAAATGTGATTATGACGCAAATAAAGAGAGAGAGAGAGAGAGAGAGTTTAACGTTCCACTCGACACAAACTAGGTCATTTCGGGACTAACATATGGTTTAATTTTATTTCATTAATTCGCTTGCGCGTAGGGGTCTTTAGCAGTGGGAGGAACCCGCTGGAGGACCCGGAGAAAACCCACGAGGTTGGACAGGCGACCCTACTCCTTGTCACGCAAATAAAGAGAGGATTTACTGTGCCTAAGTAATGTATAAAGAAATGACAAATAGCGCCATACATTTGGCAACTGTAGCAATAGTATGTTATGAATTATGAAACAGGATTTTCAAACCTCAATAAGTTTTAGAGAATAATTCAACATACGATATCAATCTTTTTTCTTCACCATCAAAATCCCAAACTCACCTTTTTAGCTTCGGACATCATCCACCATTCGTAACCACGGTTATAATTTTCATCCCATGGATAATGCATGTGAGATGATTCAGTTCCAACTAAAATATTACAATTGAAACATTTACACAAAAACTTTCTACTCAATCTTTGGTATTTGTCACTCGCATATCCCACCTCAGTCATCTCTTGGAACTGTTCAACGAGAGCGAGTCTTTGAAAAGAAACATATTATGGCTTTATTGAGCCAATAATAGGTTAAAGGTCTTACAAAGCTTAAAATAAAACAAACTGCTAGAATATTAAAGGGCCCAGACCGCCCTAATACTCCCCCCAATTACTACAGTGTTAAAGGGCCCAAATCGCCAAATATAAAAACGACTGTTGTAATCTTAGGTATTTTTATTAGTGCGACTTAGGCGTAGGAACTTATATGGTAGACTTTCTACCGTTTTGAATATAATTGTGGTTTTATTTACACGAGAAGAAAGTTGCTGCTTTAACGACCGTAGTCCCCAAAAAATGTTTATCTTCTGGTAAATTCAACTCAATTTCCAAATTTATTGCCCAAGTATTAACTGAAATAATTTACAAGAAACAACAACTGCGATATAAGTCACAGCACAAAGATATCTATTTTCTGGTAGCTTTTATAATACCTGAGAAGTGACACTCCCATTTTTCCCTAACAAATGTAAACCTATAATCCACAGTCGAATATGATACAATTGATACAATGTCAATTAAATAGAAGGCATAGGAATGGTAATTGCATTTTTTGTTCTATTACGAGATCCAATGAAAATTATGGTGTACATTTTTGTTGCATAATAAAGATATATGATTCGCTAATGGAATACCCACCAGTCGTGTCAGCATCGGCCCCTACTTCAACTTTCAGAATCTTTATCGAGGCACCAAAATTGGGCTGAAATCACAGATCAGTAAAGTATTTTGCCTATGATTTAGATTAAAAACCTTCACGATGGGCCAAACTGTATGTTCTGAGTCTAAAATCCAACATAACAATACCCTGTCCTTGAAACCACAACAGTTTGGATATTCAGGTTTAATGAAATAGATCAAAATAATGTAAAATATCGTAAGGCATTATCATTTTTTTCAAAATAAAAGCAATATGAATATCTTTTATAATCCTTAAGCATCTTTGTATTAACCAAGAAAAATGCCAAAATTTACTAAACCTTGAAAAGGAAATCGAGGATTTCATTTCTTTGTTGATCTGGGTAATTTCGAAGAAGTTTAGAAGTCGCCTGAAAAAAAGATGTACATAATATTCGTATTAAATAAACCATAAAACTAATCTTGCCGTATCCCATAAATAATTGTAGTAATGTTGAATTATTAGGTTTTTCAGAAACTACTTACAAGGCTCATTCTATACTCAATGCACCTCACCACAAATAAAAATAAAAAGAATCTCTGACGTATTTTGGATAGAATATATAATAGACTAATACCAATGACTAATTTTGATCTTTATTATCGAGATGTAACAATTAGATAGATAGCACAGCTGTTCAATCCACTTGACCTCTATTATCGAGATGTAACCATTAGAAAGATGCCGCAACTGTTCAATCGACTTGATATCTATTATCGCGATGTAACATTTAGAAAGGTACCGCAACTATTCAATCGACGTGATCTTTATTATGGAGATGTAACAATTAGAAAGGTGCCGCAACTGTTCAATGGATTAGACTATAACATACATTTGTAGATGTAAAGATGGCGAGGATGTTGTTGTTAAATAGGGAATTTTACGTCCGCTTCCACCGAAGTAATATCGCAAAGAATGTCTTATCCCCCCCTCTCTCTCTCTCTCTCTCGCTGTGTGTGGCTAGATTTCCCCTTTGTGCCTGGTGTTTTGCGGATATGTGAATATAAATCTATTTTCGATGGGTGTTGCTGGGTATTCTGGTTATGATGGAGATGCGGATTCTCCTTCCCGTCTCCTTTTAGTGATGATATTAGTCATGGGATAGGCTTAGTTACTGGTTTACTGTTTGGGATTGTGGGTGGTGGCTTACTTTTGGGGACTGCGTTCTTTACTGGTTGGACTGTTGGTTTAACTGGTGGGAGTGGTTTAACTTTTGTCATGGTTTTATTGTGGTCTTCTTTTTTTTGGACCTCGTAGAGGGCACCCCGTCCGGGAGTGACGAAACCTCTCGCATAGAGGATTAAGGTTGCTTTCTTTTATTTTGTTTAGTCATTCTGGGGAGAGATGGAATGGCTTAAAAAATGCTATTTCTCCATTAATATGAAATACACAACAACAACAAAACTGTTATTAAAGTTCGTATACTCGGTATATGAGGTTGGGAGGAACATACGGGTATTTGTTATCTATACACCTTATAAGGCTTATACCCCCGTCAGACCGAGGTGGCGGAAAATGATCTCAGAGCGCGTCAAGATCGCCATAAGCGTGGTAAAAGCGTGGTGTCACGAAATATATCGTGTTGTGGTCTCCATGGTTGCCAAGGTTCTGCGATCTGACCTGGAAAGCTGTGAGAACGCGACCTTTGTCAAGTTTGTAATTTTTTGGGACATTATCTCGCGTTGTGTTCAAGTTTGACGGCGTCCTTGTGCATTTTCTGGTCGCCGCACGGTCGCAGCAACGCAGCAAAGACGACAACACGGTCTGACGGGGGCATTATACCCCCCTCAGACTGGGATGGCGTCCTTACTGCGTCCTTACAGCTGTAGATCGTTAATAGCAAAAGGTTTTAAGAACGAACAATGAAACATCTTAAAATCTGATCAGTTGTTTCAATATTAGTGATATGCATATGTCTATTCTATGGAATACAATTATTGCTTATTAATGAGCGAAGTTTCGACTAGGTTTCTCTAGTCATTATCAAGCAATAATTGTATTCCATAGTATTGTGACCTGTATGTCTTAAATGTCATAATCAAAAAGCGTACTGCATGGCGCCGCTGTGTAGCCACGACGTAAGTTGTTGATTAAGTATCTAATTTATTGGGTTTTTTGGGTTTATTCATCTAGATTTAGTTTTTCTGTATAATATCCATATTCATTCTGCATTTAGGAGAGAGGTCATATAGGCCATAATATAATGTCTGTTCCTTAACCCCTTTCAATTTTAAAATAAAATATTGTCTTGAATATAATGCCAGTTTCTGTAAATAATATGACCTATATATTTCATGTGCATAGGTGCACAGATGTTCAATCACTGACATACTGATCGATAACAATGTGTATTAGCCCACTAAATCGATAATCTACCTAAATGGAAATCTAACAACAAAGGGACAACAGTTCAAATTAAGCGTCCGTCAAGAGTATTGTCATAGACCAAAACATAATAAAACCCCCCAGCAGCAGTCTTAGCGAAAACCTTGATTCAAACCCATTTATTACAATCTCCCCATCTATAGCCGAGAAGAACTGGCACAGACAGAAATTTATAAATTATTTAAACTTTCGATTTTTTGTCAGTTTTGCAGCACGCCTAGTATTTGGTAATATTTTATCTTTAAATTCTGTAATCTTTCTGTACCTGGATGTGGTGCTAATCACCCACAAGAGCGTTACATTATATCCAATTTTGATTGATTTTATAATTATGGATAATTGAAATGTAAACTGTCACGTATAACTGTCTAATTACCACAGTGCACCAAATTAATTCAAGTAAGCAGTTTTTATTTTGAAATATATCCATTATTATTTATCCAAACTTAACCATTTTGGGATATGCTAAGTAGCATAGATTTGTCATGTATTGCTTCATGTCGGTAACTTAATTACTTTTCGAGGCCCTGGTCTTTGATTGTATCATATACATTGTTGAAAATAGATGATTTATGGAGACATGCATCAGCTCTTACAACCTCCATTTTTATCTTCCTTTATTTTCATTCAATTGCAAGGACAGCTGTACGTCTAGTCCTTCGGATGAGACGAAAAACCGAGGTCCCGTGAATACATTGGAATGCACGTAAAAGATCCCTTGGCAGTTGGAATTCGATATAAGAGTAGGCGACAGTGCCGCTGCCCGGGCAAAATTTCCCTCATAGCACACTGTATGGCGTATGCCCGTCTTCATTAGCCCAGCATAAGAGCAGAACAGTAGGACGTTAAACCCCATTTCATTTCATTTCATTCAATTGAACGTTTTATCTTTACATCAATTACATGACATCTCTTCTTGCCGCTGTGGGTTTTATAAATAGTTTATTGACCGTAAACTATAGTTACCCTTTTGTCAGTATCACACCAATTTATTAAAATCGCAATAATCCACCATTTTGTTAGAGGTTTTGATGTCAAATTATTTTGGATATGACGTATAGAATATGCATATCAGTCAAATTATTTTGAATATGATGTATAGATGCATATCAGTCATTTTTGTTCACAATACTTAGGTCACCATTGACAAAAATTCTTGTTGGTTATTGTCAGTGATTAGAAGGCCCCAATTGCAGCATTTGTTTACTTAGATTAGAATAACGATCGTTACTATAAGATAGTATACATGTATTCTATATGTCAGATATTAATGCACTATCTTACCCCTTTGATTATGTTTAAATATTGATACATATTGATATTCTATTTATTTCCAAATATAGACAGCGTGTCATCTAGACAAAGCAATTTACGTTGAATATTTCCACTGCTTAATTAGTTATTCATATCATATTCTTTTTCCTTTTTGCAACGAATTTCTGCACAAGATTCATAATCTGTGGTTTTGCTTGATTGCTCATCCTTGCCTTGGAAGTCACAGTGGCTCAGGAGATCTGAGATGCAATCCCTATTGTTGATTGAGAAAGCACCTCTAGATTTTTATCGTGGTTTCCTCTTGTTCAGAGGTGCAGAGGGAGGACTTTCCTTTTCAGAAAACTGTACCACTCACATGGGGAAACCAAGCCAGAAAATCACGAGGAATATATATAAATTATATACCATTCGAAAATGAAAGCCTTTCTCTCACAGTCCAGCGTTCTCGTATTAAATTAGGGGTTGCCCGGCGTGTATCAGGCCATCCATGCATGATGACTGAGTTAAGTTCATTAAGTTCTTCAGATGTACGTTGTTGGAATTCAGCGTATATTTGATTAGAGACTGGGATATAATCCACCATATTTATGAGTATTGGTTGAATATCAGGTTCAGTTACAGGTAAATTGGCTCGGCTTAAGGTATCACCAATTGGAATTTGTTTTCCAGGTTTGTATGATACTGTTAGATTGTGTGGTTGTAGTCGTAACATCATATACACTATTCTTTAAGTGGGAATTCGAAACGTCGCCTAAATAAATCGGTAGTTGTTTTCCATAAGTATGATTTTAGTTTATTTATCATATATACCGTAATCTCATTGGTGCTGATAACAACAGGTTTGAGAATATAGCTTGACGGGGTTTGTGATCACTTTCTACTAATACAGCTTTACCAAATATATAATAATGGAATTTCTTGCAAGAGTGAACGATCGCAAGAGTCTCCTTTTTTATCTGTGCGTATCTCTTCACTGTGTCTGTTAGAGTTCTGAAAGTATAAGCGATCGGTCTTCCTCCTTGAAGTTATACTCCACCTAGTGTGTAGCTGCTGCTGCTGTCATATTTGATAGAAATAGGCTTCGAGACATCAGATTTGGCTAAAACTTGAGCACTTAAACACAGATCCTTGAGTTGTTGAGGCTTTTCTCAATATAAATCTGTATTCTTTTTTTACAATATCTCTTAAGGGAGCATCTATTTCGCTCAATCCAGGTATGAATTTTGCTAAATATTGTATCATAACCAAGGAATCGCCGGACATCCTCCTTGCTTGCTCTTAGGTATAGGCATTTCTATCAGGGCCTTAACCTTGTCTGGGTCTGGTTTAACACCATCTTTGCTAATAATATGACCAGAATACTTGACTTCAGTGTTCAGTGAGTTTATCTTCTATCTTAGCTGCCAATTAAGGCCTTGGGTTGTCGCCTTGGACTACGAACAACTTGTTGAACTGAAAGATCTATGTCAAGACTGTATATTCCTGTCTGTAGAGTCCCTGTAGTCTCTTGGGTTCAGGATATTAATCTATCTCGACTATAGTATACACTCTTTCTATAACACCAAGAGAGTAATATGTCTTTATCTGTGTGGAATACTGTGTATTCTACATTTAATGTTTTATCTTTGTTGGTAGTGTGGCACATCTTTCAACAATGACCAGTATAAGATGAACACTTTTTATTAATTGGGGTGAGTGGGGCTTTAATGTTCATTTTATAAAATGTCATATAAGGTAATATTGGCCTAGATCAACCAGTGTCAATTTGAACCTTTTGCTTTTGATAACAATAATGTGTTTCCAGCATTCGTCTGAATTAACGATACCATCATTTACTTCGGTTATTGTGTGTAGAAATTCTTCATCTTCGCTATCAGAGACCTCTACTAGTTTAACCTGATTGTGTCTCCTATAGGAATTGTTCTGCAGACCGTCGCGAAGTGACCAGTCTTGTGACAATTACCAAAGGTATTGCCTACGGCTGGACACGATTTGTGTGACGGGTGGTAACAACATTTTCCACATCTTTCAGGTTCTCTACCTTCAAAGGTCCTTTTATTTCATTTGGATTTTCTGTTTTTCTTCATAACATCTTATGTCTGATTTCTTCTTTCCTGTGTTGATAGACATAACTGACTTTGGGGGTCTTCATCTATGATGGTTTTCATGTCAGCTTTTGAGGTTTCATACAGCTGACGAATTTGAATAGCTCGAGCTAAAGTCAATTCTGCAGCACTGACTACAAGTACAAGACATTTCTCACAAATGGCTGGCCAGGAACGCAGAACAATACCATCCAGTAACTGGCGATCTGGATCAACGTAGCCACATTCTGCCACAAGAAAACGTAGTTCTGTGACGAAATTATTAAATTCCTCTTCATCTAGTTTCCTTCTTTTGTTAAAAAGGGCCAAAGCCCTGATTTCATTTCGTTTCGGTTCTGCATATATGTTACAGACACCGTAAAGGGTGTCATTTTCTGCCGGACCATCTTCTGTGGCAGGAGCCCAGGTTAAAGTATTGTAAATTTCTCTATCTTTATCCTTTATCACCGTAGTAAGTCATAAGGTAGTTTATTCTTTCTAGCTTTGACTTCGATGCTAACGGACCCTTGAACGTGAAATCACAGTGTTTCCTGAAACGTTTCCACCCATTTCTTAGGTCTTTGGCCTTCCAGTGCATAGCAGGAGTGTTGGTTTGTATGTTGTTTTCTGCCATTTTTGTATTGTGTATATATATTTTCTAAACTACACAGAAAGTTCAGCAAGACGTCAATTTTCACACCTAATTCGTGTTAGGGTTAGTGAAAGTAGAGTATCACCGAAGCACTTGACTTTCGCTAGCTACCTTATTTTAAGGTTCGTGGCCAGGTTTTAGGTCAATTGTTCTGAAACTGTGCAGAAATGTGTGGACTCTTCTTCAAACATCAGGAAGGACCACTTCTGACACCATGTAACGTTATATGTTATAAATACGAAGTAAACCGGAAGCTGTATAATACTGATATGTGATTGGATAACAGTGGGGTCAGTAATAAACACAGGGGTACCAGACAAGATATATTACACCACTAACAAGAAGAAACTACGCAGGAAAAGCCGTGCAAACTTTCTAGTCCAAAGCCTGGATCGAACCCTGACCGCTAGTCTAGCGAACCAACTTCTACCCACTGAGCCACAGCAGTTTCACGAACTACATTGTTAATGGGATTGAGAGTCAATGCCTCTAAAGGAAGTATAAAGATGGGTCTGACAGGCTACTTATTTAGGGCTACTTACAGTTCCACTTATACCACCAATTCCATCGAACCGTCTACCATAACCAAGATTATCATCAACAGAATAGACCCGGACATCACGTTGTTCTAAAGTTAGAGTTGAACTGGAGACGATGTACAATAAAAGCAAGCCGAATCCAATGTAACAATTGAGAAACATTGCCGTCGATTAGTTCCAGGGTGTCAACAACTGCAATAATTTGAACTTTTAGATTCATTAATAGATTTAAAGCATATAAATCGCAAGATAAGATAAAGTAGATGGAAATAGCCAAGATCACATGTCTTATCAAATAATTCGTGCTAAATCAGCACAAATCTGTTGACAAAATTTCGAATGGCACGTTATACTGATAAATCTTCAAAATTCCTTGTTTATAATGGATCCCCCGAACCTATTATTATCCACACTTTGACCACAACAAATATCAGCCTTGTGTAACAATTGAATCAATGTACGTATCTTCGTTGGACGCATCCAATTAAAAATTTGAAAGATATACACTGTAGTATTTGTAGAATTTCGGTGAGACAAAAAGGCTATTAATCAAGCTGTATTTTTGAAAGTTTCACATTGGTGGGTTGGGTTGGCTCATCGCTGGCAGAATGATTTAACGCGTCGGCATTTATAGATCATACAGCCCTGTCATTGAGTCCCATGGCGTGGAAATGAAATGGGGTTTAACGTCCTACTTTTCTGCTCCGACTGGGCTATTGAAGACGGGCATGAGCCATACAGTGTGCTATGAGGGAAATTTTGCCCGGACAGCGGCGCTACGGCCTACTTTGATATCGAATTCGAACTGCTAAGGGATCTTTTACATGCACGCCAATGTATACACGGGAGCTCGGTTTTTCGTCAGGCCTTCCATCCGGCATCATTGACAAGGGGAAACCAAAACAGGGATCGAACCCGCGACCGCCAGGGTAGCGAGCCAGCGTCTTACTCACTTAGCCACCGTGGTTCCTCTCGTGGCGTGGTGTCGATTTCCTGCTTGTACGTGACAAGGCGTAGAGTCGACTGTCCAACCTCGTGGTTTTCTACGCATCGTCCGTTATTATTGAATGCGCAATATTGAAATGAAATTTAACCATGTGGTAGTCCCGAAATGACCTAGTTTGTTTCAAGTGGGCGTTATTCCCCCCCCTCTCTCTCTCTCTCTCTCTCTCTCTCTCTCTCTCTCTCTCTCTCTCAGAAATTGTAACTGCCATAACATGACGAAAATGAAAGCGGTAACCGATATTCTATATATAAAAGTCAAAAAGACTAAATGATATTTGTATCCAGGAATATACCCAGCCACTTGTTCCTATACCCTGTCATGTGTATGTCACCTGCCTATACTAATAACTTAGTTAAGTGATAATTTGGTTAAGTATATTATAGAAGTTAGTAGAAAAAGGATAATACAGGGGCCAAAGGCAACTTGCAAGTCACTGGCGACATTTAAATACAAAAGTACATGAAATATTAGTTTAAGTCTACCGAAAAGTACTTGAATGTATTCTAAAAAAAGGGGTAGACACGCTTTGCTTCGAGTTCACTAAACTGATAACGGGCGGGTCTACCGACGAATAAAAAAACAATATATATAAAGTAGGTAAATTCATGGGTTATACCAAATAAAAAAAAACTGGAGTAAATTTTCTCGGAATTCCCGGTCACAATTTCGCTGACATCTTACTTATATTCATTTATTAATGTACATAAACATATCTATATCTACACAATGCGCCTATGTAATCCTTACTCACAAACATGCGTATAAAGCAGTAAGCTATATAAATAGATCTATTCAACATTACTTATGTATTGAAATTGGTGACATAGCAAGGATGTAAAAGGATTTTATTGGCTAACAACTATGACATAAATAATCCAACGAAACAAAAGTAGAGTTTTGTTTCTCCCTTGTATACATTGATGATTATTACGTTGTGGGTTTATTTGCATTTCTTTATGACACGTGTCATAATTTAATATATTGGCTACTAAACGAAAAGTAGAGCTTTGTCTTTTTCACGGTATATTTATATCAGGTGACCCAGAAACAAACGTGTACTCAATTTAAAGTAGAATAATTAAAAAGCGTTATACCTATATCATTAACATTTCACATAATGTACCGTATGTGTCTTTAACAACTTCATTCTAAGTGTCAGTTCAACAGCTCATCTTTTTTAAAAAAAAAGAATCCCAAAATCAAGTTTTGCCGGGCTGAGATTCCACATCACACTTAATGATATACCTAAAATGTGAAATGTTTTCTTTTTCTTGTAAAATATTTATTCACCGAACTTGAATACAATATCATATATATAAATTAGGATGTATTGATATATACATTAATATACAATATTGTGAAATGCTTAAAAAGGGTTGAAAAGTTGAAATAAAAACTTTCTTTTTAATGTTAATGTGAAATGTTAATAATATAGGTGAAATGAAATGAAATGGGGTTTAACGTCCCTCTGTTCTGCTCCTATACTGGGCTAATGAAGACGGGCATACGCCATACAGTGTGCTATGAGGGAAATTTTGCCCGGGCAGCGGCACTATCGTCTACCCTTATATCTAATTCCAACTGCCAAGGGATCTTTTCTGTGCATTCCAATGTATACACGGACCTCGGTTTTTTGTGTCATCCGAAGGACTAGACAGCTGTCCTTGTCAGGCCCTCCGTTCTGCATCACTGACAAGGGGAAACCACGTCGGAAAATCCTGATGAACTTTCTCGGCCAATGACGGGACCGAACACCCGACCTCCAGGCTAGCGAGCCAGCGTCTTAACCACCTAGCCACCGTGGCTCCCATAATGTAGGTATAATACTTTTTGAATTATACCACTTTATAAATAGCATACTTTTTTTCTGGGTTACCTTATATATTATACACGTGATATAATTTACCCCAAAATAATAAAGGTCTGAAGGAATTTTTAGACTTCTAAATACGTCATTTCATACTAGGCCTACTTATCCAAGAAGCATTTCAAAAGAACTGTGATACTATTTTTGAATACTCGATCATATGAGTCGAACTTTAGGACGTTAAACCCCATTTCATTTCATTTCTGTTCAGAAACCACACTGATACAAAACAGAAGTAGACAGAACATGACATCACAAGAAAGCTAAAAATCTTTGTAGAATATATCGGCGAAATATTTCAGAAAGTAATTGGTCTTTCTATGGGTATCAACTGTTACCCCCTCCTATTTGCTCATTTAATTCTATATGCGTACACGTTTTCCCTAACTAATGGCAACATTAGTGATTTATTTAGTTACCTTTCTGATGGGTTTGTGATCAAAGAACTATCGATAATGAGAATATGTCGATCTCCTTTGATCTATTATTCAAAATGGTGGAAAACCAGAAAGTTCAATGATAAAAGGGATAATGTGACTGTTCAGTCTTTAATTGACCTTTGATATGTATCAATATACCCCAGGCTTCTCAAGTCCCCGAATTTGACGTATATATTGCTTAAAGATTCGATATATCCAACCCTTACATAAGTATGACTTCTTGGCAAGAGGCATAATCTTAACAACAAAACCACCGGGACACCATCTATATATATATATTCAATTTAATGGTCTCCACCCAGAGATCACAGAGATATATAATATGTATGTGACTCTACTATCATTATAGTATTTTTCATATACACTTATTTTGTTTGTAGTTTAATTAATAGGCCGTTCAGGTATTTCGCTATTGGGTATTATTTTCATACTTTCCCATTTAAAAAAGTTCCCTTTCTATTTATTCGATTTTGACTACCTTTTTGTGGATCATCAACGTATTTTATTACGCACATTATTTATATTTGTTACAAACAAGCTTATGTGGACTTTTTTTTGTAATTTTACCTGCCTGAACGCGACCGTGCCTGATATATATAGTTCGTATAGTTTCAACATGTATCCTTTTCTTATACAAACTCCACACTCATTAAAATAATTATACAATTAAAATTATAAACCTGATAAACTTCAGTTAATAAGACATGGATAGCCGCACAAAGATTTTAAGATGATTTAATTAAATTAATGTTTTAATTGATTTTAGCGTCAATAAGGTCATGCATGATGTTTTTAAACATGTTAAAACATACGGATATTTTACTGTCGTTACTATGTTTGCGATAAGACACCGAAGAATGAAAACGTGATGTATATTATAATTACAATTATAAAATGAAATGAAATGAGGTTTAACGTCCTACTGTTCTGCTCCTATACTGGGCTAATAAAGCGGACATACTCCATACAGTGTGCTATGAGGGACATTTTCCCCGGGCAGGGGCACCATGCAGGCCTACTCTTATATCGAATATACACGCCAATTTATAAACAGGACCTCGGTTTTTCGTTCCATTCGAACGACTAGACAGCTGTCGTTGTCAGGCACTCCGCCCTGCACCACTTACAAGGGGACACCACGTCGGAAAATCCCAATGAACTTTCTCGGCAAATTCAGCGACCGAACACCCGAGCCAGGGTCTTACACACTTAGCCACAGTATTTACAAACATGTGGAACGGAAATTTCACCGATATATGTTGCTCGCTATTCCATTTTGAAGTTTCTGTTCTGTTTGTTTTGATGGTTCCCGTTTGTCTGAAAACCTTTGAACTATCAGACCAGAAGAACAAAAATGGCAGTGCCAATTCCACAGATTAAATGTAATAGTTCTGTGTGTGAACTCAAATGAACTACACTCCATCACCAGACAAAACAAAACTACATTGTTGATCAAAGTCACCGGTAGTGCCATAGACTTATTAAAATTACAATTCTGTCTCGTTCGTTCCTTTCACGTTTTTATTATATCCCAGTTCATTTCTGCAACATTTAAACATTTTCATGATCTAAGAGATGAAAAAGAAAGCAAATGATTTTTCGCGCCACTGAGAACAAATCTGATAGATTATCAATCCGATTGGAAAACAAAAACACAGCCATTGTCAAAATACAATGACATGAAATGGATTTTTAAGCCTTTCTCTTCTACACCAAGGCTATAATGAAGATGGGCATATCCACCATGCAGTGTGCTATGAGGGAGAGAGAGAGAGAGAGAGAGAGAGAGAAAGAGAGGGGAGAGAGATGGGGTTTAACGTCCACTCGACACAAACTAGGT